TGTATCCTAGTTTTGTTTTGTTTTTCTTACGTCTTTATTTTGCTTGCATTTTTGTTTTGTTTTGTTTTTTGATTCATATTGTTCGATTTTTATTGTAATTTTTTCTTATTATTTATTGATGTTTTGTTTGTGTGTTTGTTTGCTAATGTGTTTTTGTTCTGTTGCCTTGTTGGAGGTATCATGTTTAGTAGAGCTATTCGAAAAGCAAACTCTGAAAAAGACTAAACTAATGCCAATTCTTGCCAATATAAAAGTCCAGAAAGCACATTTGAAGGTCAAAAGTTGACCATTAAATTGAGGACATACCTCTTTATTATTAATTTCGTATTCATTAGCGATGTGTTTACTGGCATTTTTCTTCCAGATTGTGACATTTACACTATCACAAGGCAATCAAGGCTTCATTTTTTCTCTTGATAGTAAACCGTGTCTAATGTTTTATTGAATAATAATAAAGTACGGTTCAGCTAGATTCCTTTTAGAATTTGAAAGCATTGTGAGATTTTTTATACTTCAATATGATCTCAAAGCCTTTGAAGTACGTATTATTTGCTAAAAAATTCTATCTATTCGTTAGAAGATATTTGAAGTTCCAGAAGCAATTAATTGATTTTACAACTAATGAATTCACGATAAATCGCTTCCAAAGGAACCAAGAACTCCATTTTCTCTAGTATCTTCGATTCTTGATTTTCCAAAACAGAATTGAAGTGTGTTATGTACATTGGCAACCGAGGAAAAAGGGTATATTTGAGTTTTTTTCTGTTTAGGTATTGTTGTACTGTCACTAAGTCTAGGGGGAAAAATCGAGATTTGTCGAAACACACAAGGTTGTACAGAAAAGCAAACATCTTTCCAACATTCCAAGAATACGGAAACAATAAATAATCAGGCGAGTTAAACAAGGGGTTTAGTGTCAGTTTATTTATTGTGAAGTATTTAGAATCGGTGTACTTTTGTAAAACAGAAGGTATTCTGAAAATAATTCTAGACGATTTTCTCCGTATGAAAAAAAAAGGTTCCATGTCACACCCGGTCAATCATAAAATTTCTGATGCCCCCTTTATCCCAATTTAAGCTTCTGAATACTTAACATTATGCTTCATCTAGATATAGAAAGTAACACAACAAACAGTAGCTTCGTGCTGACGCACATCATAGCGGTGTCAAATGATGATTATTCCTGCATGATGGATTAACATGATATCGTCTGCATCTCTGATCAAATGAAAAAGGCGCGATAGTGACACGATGGGAAAAAGTTTCGTGGACGCTCGACTTTTAGTTTTATGTAGAAAATTCTCTTGGTGCCAATCCATCTGAACTATTTTCATTTACGTTCTAAACGATGGCTGATGACTCTATTTCGTGTTAATACTTGGGAATCATTTTTTTTTTTACTGATGAATTATTCATTTGTTTAAGCAAGAAGATCAGCACTCAATTAAAAATTTTAAGCATAATAATTTTACTTTAAAACTTCGAAAATTGTAAGGAAGTTGAAGTTATCTTGAGAAAGAATCATTAGCATAGTCGAATACAGGGTTTAGAAGGTTGTATCATTAATTTGCAATCCAAATAGTACCTACTTTCTGCCTGCCTGTGACGCCTTTGTCCTAAGTGGCAGCAACGAGGGTTTTCCAACCTTGCCTGTCACTGGCTAGCTTTTGGAGTGTGCCCCTGCTTTTCTTTAGATCTTTAAGTTAGGCATCCACTGTCCTCCGCCAAGTGACTTTGGGCCTTCCTCTCTTCCATTTTTCCTTCTAGTGTCCAGAGGAGAGCTGTCTTTATGATGCTGTCCGAATCCCTTCTAAGTGGCCAAGCCAGTCCCAGTGTCTTCTTATGATGATGATTGTGCTTGCACCTGTTGAGAAGGTCCTTAAGGTGTTGGGCCTGATTTGGGAGGTGGTGTCTCTGATTGAGAGCCAAAATATTCTTAGCATCCTTTTCAGGGACTATGTATGGAATGTCGACAGCTTGCCCAGGTCGCCCTCTGTCATTCTTCAATACTGATCCATATACAAGAGGATAGATAGGTGCAGAACTGTAGCTCTCTGATTGAGAAAAAAACGGACATATAAATGATTTATCTGTCCGAATTTTCTCAAGCAGAGAGCCACAATTCTGCAGCTGGGGGATAGGTAGTATACATCTCTTGGGTAGTTTCAGTCAAAATAGTGTCTCAGTTTGTCTACTCGTTACAATCCAAGAATATGATAGTTAGGATTTGGAGAAGATGAAAAAAATAAGCCTGATTTGTTGACGGAGAATTTTCTTGAAAATTATGTTTTTATAGCATAAATAAAACCAGAACAATTTTTGAAATGCTTTAATTTAAAAAAATCTTTTAATTAGAATATCACTTATTTCCTTATATACTAGTATTATTACTTTTATTCGCTTACATCCATTACATACATTTGTATGCTATGCAACATTTCATAAGAAATGCAAATTTCCCATAGAAAATCTTCAACAGATAAATAATCTTTGAGTTCAAAGAAACATTTCCAAGTGTATTGATTTTCCTATAGTACATTGTTTTTAGAGGTAAAATATATATATTTTTATTTTGATAATTTTAAAGAAGATTGGAATAAATAATTATAGACAATGGGAAAAAATATTATGTAGGCTACTTGAATAAATATTTTATATACATGTGAAATACTTTCTTTGACAAGAAAAAATGAAGGACGCTGCTCAATTGATTTAAAGATTAGATCTTTCACTGTTCTATTTTTTTTTTAATATTGGAAATTTGATAGCATAAAATAAATGTCAGGCCTTTATATAAATTTAATGTTTACATGTATTTAAAAAATAAAACCCTTTTGTTCCAGAATCTTTAATTATAGAATTTATTTGATGATATTGAATATTGCGCATCGAAATTAGATAACATATTGTGTTTTCTTTTATCAAGAGATATATTTTCTGAGATAAATTGTATACACCTCAGTAATTTGGATGAAACATTTTGTTCAGTATTTTTGGTTTATCGCTGAAACATGAATCTTTTTTTTTCACAGAAGCATTTACGATACTGAAAAGTATTGTTTTGGGATATTGTGAAATTTCTAGTATGGCTAATTAAACACAAGTAATGTGTAAATATTTCATCGTTATGTAGAATTGATGAATTTTGCGTGATGCTGTATCATAAAAATCATTATATATATCTCCAATATCAAACGTTCAGTGTACTACGGATACCCATCAAAGAATTGCAATGAGACGTGTGTTTAACAATAATTAATATACAGAAACAGAGTTAACTCGATAGTTGTCTGATGGTAGTGCTTTACTTATAACATACATAGTTATATACACAATCTGACGGGATATTACAGTAGAAAATTTATTTTTAAAAATCATTTCAGTGTTTGTTTGCTTTTTTGTGGCTCCATATTTTCTTCAGGGTCGTCGCTATAGGGTCCCCAGGGAAATGTGTATATTAGGAATACTTCTTCCCCAAAGCCAGATTCCTTTTTAAGAAATAAGTACCATTTGGGTGGGTTTAAGTGCATTCTTGAAGTTAGTTCTTCAAATATTAAAACATAACAAAATAGGATAAATTTTACCAGATTAATAATAAAGTAATTGTTTTAATTTGAAAAAAAAAAATCGAGAGTTTACTTAAAGGGGTGAGTCCATAGAGATTGGCTTATGTAGGTATATAAAGATTGACTGATCCGGATCTATTGAGACTGACTGATGTAGCCCTGTAGAGATTGGCTGATCCGGATCTAGATCTATAGAGACTGACTGATCTAGATCTATATATACTGACAGATGCAGATCTAGATGTATAGAAGCTGACAAATCTAGTCTATAGAGACTGATCTAGATCTATAGAGACTTGCTTAGCTAGATATATAGAGACTGACTGATGTAGTTTTATAAAGATTGACTGATCCGGATCTAGATCTATAGAGTCTGACTGGCTGATCCAAATCTATAGAGACTGATTTATCCATCTCTATAGAGACTGACTGATCGAAATCTGTTGAGACTGACACATGCAAATCTATAAGGACTGACTGCTGTACATAGATCTATAGATCGAGAATGGCTGATCCAGATTTCTTGACACTGATTGATCCAAATCACGTTTAACAGTAATATATACGATACCAGGTTTTGTCATGTTGATAATATTTATTTTACCGTTAGATTTCGACCCCTTGCTTTTTAAGTCTGGATTTGTCACACTTTATTCTATTCATTTGAAATATTAGCCATATCATTCTATTTTGTTTCAACAGGATATATCTTTAGTTGAGGACAGAATCGTGTACTATATAAGGTACTAAATCACTTTTTAGGTCAATATTTACTTATATTATCTCCAATATCCATCCTGTCGTTAAAGCTGGATCTAATTGACCAATGAGTGCAAAGAATGATTCATTATTTGATGTTGTTTACGCATTTTGGTGTTCGATCTATATCTTCGTTGGACCAAAAATTTTACATGGCACAGCTTGGAAATTTAAAGAAACCTGTCGCTGAAAATCTGCAGAAAAAGCAATATTTTCTCAATAAATTGAAATCTAAATTGAAATACACCAAATGGATCGTAACATTCATCAAGCATATTTACATAAATCATGACGTAACCGTTTATGTGAGTTGATGAGCCATGTGTCTTAATGTTTGTGTGATGCTTTAAGTCGCCTGATCATGTCAATAAAAGTGATGGATTTTCGTCAGAAAGTGTTTGAGATAAACAATCTACAATGACGGATACCTACAATGTGCTTCAAATTGTGTATAAAAGACGAAACGCAACACTTCCCTTAATTCCTTTTATCATTGTCATATCGACATTAATTCCTGGGTAAAATATGTCTAACCAATCATTTGATGACAATAACTAATTGCCCAGACGTCGTAAATTCCATTAATTTCTTGTTTGGAGTTTCTCGTTTTCAATATTTTATTGTTATCAATGAAGTGTCTACTTAGCTTTTATTGCCATCTTTCACATTTTTCAGATATCTACCGAGAGGCTTTAGGATGTGTGGCCACATGCTCCTAGACATCCATCAATGCTCCTCCATGTCCAGTGACCGAGTAAAGATAATCTATAACATATATTAAAGCTCAAAGCAGTCTTTGGTTTAACTGCTCATAAATCAGCCCGCTTAATTGGAGTGTTCGATAAGTATGCCCCCTTGTTGTGGAATGGTTACAGTTTGTTATTCTATTCTTCAATGTCGGAAGAAATTAAAGGCTATTCTAAAATAAGTATTGAAAGTTGGAAACTGCCAGAAGAAACGGTGATTGTCATTGGAGGGTTATTAAAATAGGTTCATTATCGGTATGAGGAGAGAAAGCCATCGATCATCGAAAGAAAGGAATAAGATGAAGCAGCAGTCGTTATTGCAATAAATGCTTAATTGAAAATGAAAGTTATCATCGGAAAGGTCTGGGTATCTGTAGAATGTAACATTCAGCATGTGGGATTTAACTTCTAGCATGTATAGACTACTATAACAGTGTTCATTCGTGTAAAACTATGGCCGGGAGCAGTGATGAGAAAGAGCAAAAACTGTCAACAGATGAAGAAAGGGACGAAGTAGATGAACATTCCGATGAAATTAATGACGATGTGATTTCCGTAAAATTTAACAATGGAGGACAACATACATTTGGTGAGGAAGCAATAAGTGTCGTTGTATCTGACGAAAAACCAAATAGTACGAAAGAAAAAGGGCAAAGACGATGTTGTTTTTGTTGTATTAACTGCCTCCGTAGGTGTAAACGACAAGATGAAAACAAAGAGTCCAAAACTGACAGTAAGACTAAAAGACAAACCTCTCAAGTCCGAAACTTGTCTAAAAGTGAGCAAAGAAAAGAACGGTGTTGGGTATGTTGTAAAAAGTTTACAGCATTCCTCTTTTCCCACATTGGACTTTGTGGACTTGTAATAGCTTACTCTATCATGGGTGGTTTCGTTTTCATGTCTTTAGAAGCAAGTCATGAAATAATGGAGCGGGGTAGTGTAGATATGAGGAGGAAATCGCAGATAGAGAGACTGTGGAATATTACCAATTTTAATTTGATTCTCGGAAAGAAAAACTGGACCTATGAAGTGGACAAAGTGTTGAGAGATTTCCAGACAGATATATACGAGGCGACCAAATTACGAGGGTGGGACGGACAAGGCGAGGATGCGGACGCTCAGTGGTCGTTCGCCAATTCTCTTCTTTATTCCATAACTGTTATTACCACTATAGGTAAGCTTTCCAAAAAATCTACTCACAATTCTCTTTTTCAATTTTGTATTTAAAAGTAAATTTTAATCTTTAAAATGTTCACAAAATTTTTGATAATAACATTAAGAGCTTCATTCAGAGATTCGCGCAACACAATGCACCTTTCTCTAAGCCCTTTGGAGTTTCTTCTTCCAGAAAGCACGATTTCATCAAATGTCAAAAGATTATATGTTTTATTTCAAAGATGCTTTGATTTCGTCTAATGAATTTGCAAGAAATCTTTTTTTGAAAATAGAGAAACATGTCCGAGGAAATTGACACACCTAATTTTCTAGTTCACACAAGAAGCTATCAGTTTGATAAAAATCAGTCGTGTTTACATAAGAATAAGATAAGAATGTATATCCTTGATTTTATTATCTTAAAGATTTCCACAGTGTAAGATGCTTCATGTATGAAAAAATGAAAAGCAATTTGCTCAGTAAAAATATCAAATGAATGGTCTAGCTAAAGATAAAACCTACGTACAACCTTTCATCTAGGAAAATTCCACCCTCAAGTTTTTTTGTTTTGTTTTGTTTTCCCCATGAGATATGGCTGATGAGCGACAATTGACAAGTTTGTAATTAGCAGATAATTATCGCCCTTTTTAGCTCTTGGTACTAAGTCAAACTAACTGCATTTTTTACATAGATATTCTATTCTCAAACGTTTGGTTATCATTTTTTTCCCTTTTCGTTTTAAAAGCTCATGTCAAATCACTTTACGTCGGTAGCGTTCAAATTTTGTCATAAAATAAATTAATCTGTAGCTCAAACTCTGCAAATGAAAGATCACCTTTGTCAGTTTGAAAATCAATTGAATTTAAAAAGGAAAGAAGTTTTTTCTTGGTCCAATTCACAATTACAGGTGAAGGTAATAAAGTTAAACTTAATTTACTTAATTTACACCAAAGAAAACTTCCAAACTATGTATGAAAGAAGTCTATGTGTATAATTTGTTTTTGGCCTAGTTCGTTCAACCTTTCTAAGAGCTTAAACATGTTAAATGCGTTTCCACGTCGATTCAGATGCACATCAGTGGAGATTTACTGTGTCAATATTGAATTTTGCCAAGAAACACAAAACGAAGATGTCCTTAAATCCCAACATAAGTTTTATGAGCCTAATTTAATTGTTCTTTAAGTATGATTGGTGTTTTACATTTTTTTAAACTCATTTAATCAACATTTTCACTTTTCATAATTCCAAACACTTGCGAAACAAGTTAAGATTCAGTTGAATTAATGTTCACATATTGTAAAGAAATTTGAATTATTTTCCATAAACCATCTTTTCATTTCTAATTTAAATATTCTTTTGAGCATGTGGCTTATCTACCATTTAAACTTAACCGAATTTATGCTTTTCATTTAACTTTAATGTAAGCTTGTTTTAAAGCAGCCTGCTGATTATTGAAGTCTCATTCCTGAAATTTCAGTAACCTTGAAACACCAGAACTGCTCTTATTCATTATAATTCCATTTGCGCTCCGCCCCCTTCGTTAATCTTACTGTTGCCTATTAATTCCTATCAACCTCTCAATTTTGGGAAACTCTAGAAATGTTGGAGCTCATATGAATTATGGCTCTTTGGAATTCGGACATCGAGTTTCGAACAGTAAATATCGCTTTTGAACATTCTCCCGAAATAATAAACGTTCAGCGACCGAAAAATAGCATACACTAATATTCAGATTTCAATAAGCATCTGCATCTCCATAACATTTTCAAAGAGTGTGTTGACTTTCCCTCCACATTTCATATTGATTATGATGAATTATATCCCTCTCTTTTCATGCATGAGTATGACACATTTCCTCTCCTCTCTCGGATTTTTTAAGTGCTAGAAATATATGTACAAATTGTTATATGAAATGAGGATAATCATCTACACTGTACTATGAGACCTAGTCAGCTAATACAACTAGGACATGGCTTGTCGCACAACAAAGAAAGTTAAAAAAAAAAAGAATACACTAAACTCCAAAAAATTGATAAAGATTTGATTGACAGAAACTCTCTGAAAGAGCTAGGTTCACTTTATGCATAAAATGGCCCTGTGCTCATATCAATTAATTAACTATCACCCTCTTTCCCATTTTATATATCAAAATAAAGTAGACACTTAGTGCTTTCATTTCGTATTATAAAATTTCTTTTTGAGAATCCAGATATTGGAAAACAGGCTTTGAGAAATTGCATTGTTCTTGAAATTTGCAGAAAACATGCGTATTTGACTACCTACAGCAAAGAATTAAAATATGAGCACAGCCCACGATCCAAAAAATAAAACATGTTTTTTGGTCCTCAGAAACAGATCTTTCATTATGTATTTGCATATTTTGGATCAGAGGTTGTGCTCTAGATGAAACATTGAAAAAATACTTAAACTTTACCATTTTCAAAGAAATTTACAAGATATAAGGAAAATGACGCATTTTATGACGTCATAATACTTTGACAAGAGGGAAAATTACGTCATGGTTAAGGTAAGTCACTCGTCAGCTTTTTAGAAAAGTTCACGCAGAAGCTTTTACTTCAAAACTACTTATTAAAATTCAATTTTTATAACATATTTAAATTCAACAATGTAAATTTTTTAACATTCAATGAAAAATCTGCTCAAAAATCTACAAAGCGACTATTTCTTTTGGTGGAAGGATATTTAGCAGAAAATTCTGCAAATCTGCATATTTATAAAATTTAATGTAATGGAAATTTAGCCTCACATACTTTTACTCGGAGAATATTTTCCGTTTTGATATTGCTAAAAATATTTGATATAGGTCTTAATTTATATTTTAAGACTAAGTTTTACACCTTTCCTCAACAAACTTTTCCAAAAAATGAAAATATATTGAAGAAGTCAAGGTCAAATTTACACCATTTTTTGCCTGAAAATCACATATTTTGACAAATATTTCAAAATTAACATCACTGACCCAACCTTTTTCTTTCATTATTTTAAACTACTCGATACTTGTGACTGATCAGCACTCAAGTCGTAAAAAGTTTGATATAAGAACATTTTTTATTGCCTATTAAGTTTTTTAATACCCCAAATATGTTATTATTTAGTGCAAAAGGTCACACAATAATTTACGCGCATTAATTTGCAAGATTTGTTTAATGATAAATATTATTCAAACTATTTTACGTAAAATAAGATTATATTTATTGCCATGCTTACATCTAATCAAATATAATAAGGGTTAAAGTAATTAACCAAAGAGATGAAATTTAAGTGCAAAAAGGTCAACTTAAATGTACCGTAGATCAGTAGGATGCACACTGACCCCCTATTGTCTTTGCGATTTTGAGTTACACTTTATGAGTACTTATCCAAAATATACTTCTCAAAAAATCCTTGATATAACAAATTTCAGGAGTGACTTACCTTAATAGATACAAGGTCACCAACACTCCAACTGATAAATACTGCATTTGCAATCTAAACTGAACGGTTTTGATTTTTCAGAAATTCTCAGGGCCAAATAAGGCACAAAGTGACTCTTGCTCTTTAGAATAGAATAAATCAGTAATTTCATTTTGATCATACAAACTAGTATTTCCCTTTTCATGCTATACACATTTTTCATAACTAAATGTACTTCTTTTTTTCAAAAAGTTGAAATCAAAATACTAGTAATATTTTTTTGTTTCAAGGCTATGGACATATTGCCCCGAAGACAGACATGGGAAAATTTATAACGATAGTCTACGCTTTGGTTGGTATCCCCATCACACTGCTTTGTTTGGCAAATTTAGGAGGATTTCTGGGAAACTGTTTCCGGTGGTTCTACAAACATGTCTGCTTATTGACAATATGGCTGTGCTGTCCGTCACAGGCAAAATGGTCATCCGAGAGAAAACGGGACAGAGATATGAATAAGACCTTAGACAAGACTCACCAACCAAAGACATTGACCAAAAGAAAGTGGTCACAAGACAGCATAGAAAAAGGTCAGCTGATTGGAAATAATGACGTCATCGAGATGGTTGTAACTGAAAAAGGCCCGAAGGAGCAGGTGCGTGTTCCAATTTTCGTCAGTCTTATGCTGATTACACTGTACATTTTCGGCGGTGCCATCTTGTTTTCTGAGTGGGAGAATTGGCCCTGGCTTGATGGGGCTTATTTCTGCTTTATTACATTAAGTACGATAGGATTTGGAGATCTAGTTCCCGGAATGAGATCTGATTCCCCGGCAAACCAAGAAAAACTTATTTTGTGTGCATTTTATCTCATATTTGGACTGGCCATTATTGCAATGTGTTTTGACTTGATGCAAGAAGAGGTTCGAGCTAAATGCAGATGGTTAGGTCAAAAACTTGGTCTTATTGAAACGGAAGATTGATTCCAAACTTACATATTCCAGTAGCAACATGGATTTATCTATTATTTTACGACTATTACTTGCTCTAGGTTATCTGTAAAATTTGATTGCCCGTTTTTGACCGATTGGCTAAAAATGGTCTGACTCAAAACTTTTTTCACCCCTAGGAAATTATTAACAATATTTTCATGTATCCCGGAAAATACAGTTTGAAAATTCAGCATTGATGTTGAAATTTGAATGTTTTCCCATTTACTTACCAATTTTTTTCATCTGAGTCAGGAGAGGGCAAACAGACACTGGTATCACGTAAAAACTTCAGACGGAATACGTACTTACATTATTTATTAAATCTTGCAGTTGAAAGCATTTGTCACTATGAATGTCAATACAGCATAAATGAAATAAAAAGTGGGCGTTAATGGAAAATTGTAATTGATATGCATGGAATTGTAATTGATATGCACAGAAATTGTATTTTGACTGTGTAGCAAACACATATTGACATATGAAACTCTGTACAACCATAGTTTTTCAATGCTGATTAAATATGACAAACTTTTTTTTAAATTACAAAACTTATATAAGAATTTAAATATGTTTAGCCCAATTTTCAAAATTACTCAACATACAAAACTCTTTTTTTTCTGTCGAAATCTTTATTAACGAATTTTTTGTGATAATCTATTAAGATTAAGATTCAACTATCATTTTCATCAGATTTACCTCATTATCTCCTTTCCTTTATCAATTGCTATATTTTTATATGTGACAGAAAAGAAAATAGCCATATGTGTTTCAATGTACATCTGTATACACCTTTTTGGCGATGACATCCCATGTTTTTCGTCATAATAAAGTTCTTTTTTTTCAGTAAGCATGATCAGCAAGTTTTCGGTTTTGAATTAAATTTTTACATAGCATTTTGCCCAATGTAAACAGCACTTTAACTATTTGTAAGATAAATTTATTGGTGATTTCCGTTATTGCATCTCATATTACATGTCGAGACGCCCCGCTTTTCAATAAGTTTGCTACTTTTGTCTATAATTAGTCTTGTCTAAAGTAAAACTGTATGATGGATGGAACTTGAATAATGAATATAAGTGCAAGTTGATTAATGTTAAACATATGTTTCACTGCATTAATTAAAGTCTTACAAGCAATTGATTCGTTGCTTCTGTTTGTGGAAACTTAAGGGCTAATTTCCATTTTTCTATTGAACTGGAGACAAGGAAACTATTGATTGAAGGAGTATAAATACATTTCTAAGCTGCTTCGACTTTATAAAGCATACACAATTTCTTGTCTTTTTTTTTTTGGTCAGACCATACATTTTATTAAATATTTACTAGCACACATGAACCCAAAACCTCTGAGGTTTTCTGATCGAATAGTACCCGGCTCTTCTTTTTCTGAAATATGATTTTAAAAAAATTATATATGCCTCCTACAAATTTTGTTGCATTATGGTCGAACTCTGGTAAATTTTGACATGAAAGCATCAAAAAAACAATTTTACCGGAAAGTGACAGAAAGATCCTAAAACCCCCTTCAATACCTTTTTTTAATTCAGATCTTATTTTCAAGGAAAAGTGTTGCAACAAATGGATACACTAGTATCATGCTAATTTCAAAGTCAATCGTGGCAGACACACAAGCACCATTGTATATTTTAATAATTTTACACGTAAAAATATATGAAATGCGTAACTCAAACCATTAAGAATTTGTTACCAATGATAACGGTTTTTTTCCTTAGAAATTGGGATCAACTTAACACGGTCAAAAATATTTCTACCGAAGGAAGGGATATATCACAGGAAATACGCATGTTATGGCCAAGGTTAAATTTTGGTAAAAAAAATTCAAAATCGGTCAAACTCATAGGTCAAGAGGTCACGTTGATATCTCAAGAAAGACCTTGTTACAAAGATACATATGAAATAGCAACTACCTAGTTCTACATATTTCTACGTCAAGGATAAATTGTTTTTCTTTGAATAATGCAAAAAAATTTCAAAATTTGATATCTTTCCAAAACCCCTGGTATGGCATGCTGATTTTTTGTCTATGAACATGTAATGGTATTATAAGTTTAAACCTAGATAATCTTGAAAAATTATCAGTAGGTAAGGTACCTTGCATATGTCCTTAAATAACGAACTAAACAGTGTAATATACTTTTATTAAAGCGAAGAAAAAGGTTTCTATCGATCATTATTTACGCTACTTAACTTTAACCATGTCAACTGCAGGCACTTGACAAATTCAACCTCGTGAATTCGAGTTCTTCAAAGTGTTTCATAAGAATTTTCCATTTACCATGTATTTATTTACAATTGACTAGGTATAAGTAATCAACCTCCTTCACGTGACAGACTTCAAGCCAGAAATTCGTCGAAAAATCAACAGAGACAACATACAAAACTGAAAACAGATAAGGAAATAAACTTACTGTCTTTAATTTGTGTACTGCTGGCAAATAGGTTTCGATCTCTGTTGTTTCTTGGTTTCTATCATATCTAACATTTAGTACAAGTCACATTCTGAAGTTTTAACAAAACCAGGAAACTATAGAAACTGGTACCACTTAAATTACCTATTCAGAATGTGACTTTAGTGAATCCACAATGTCCACTTCTCTCTTTGTCCATGTCCATCATGTTGAACTGAAAAATGCAAAATTGATTAATTTATTGTATATTGTTGTTGTCCCTCTCGAGAATTTTTCACTCATATGGAGAATCCAATAAAGAATTTTAGAAAAACAAGGAAAAAAACTTACTGTCTTAAATCTGTGTGCAGCTGGCAAGTAACTTTCGATCGCTTGCTGTTTCTTGTGTTGTTGAACGTCCATTTCGAGAATTTTTCTCTCTTTGGCTATGCCCATCATATTCAACTGAAAAATACAAAATTGATTGATTGATATATATTGTGTTGTTGAATGTCCAATCCGAGAATTTTTCAATCATATGGAGACCGAATAAAGAATTAGAAACAGACATGGAAATACATTTACTGTTTCAAACCTGAGTACAGCTGGCAAGTAGATTTCGATCGCTGTTGTTTCTTGGTTTGTATCACAGTCAAGATTTAGTACAAGTCACATTCTGAACTTTTTTAAGTGAGTGGCTCTAAACAGTTAATTCATTCACTGGGTTTCTTTATAGCATGAATAAAACCAGGGACATTTGCAACTGGTACCACTTACACTACCTATTCAGAATGTGACTTGAGTGAATCCACAATGTCCACTTCTCTCTTTGGCTATGCCCATCATATTCAACTGAAAAATACAAAATTGATTGATTGATATATTATGTGTTGTTGAACGTCAATCTCGAGAATTCTTCACTCATATGGAGACCCAATGTAAAATCAAAAACAGACAAAAGAATACAAGAAAACTCAATGTTTTAATCTGAGTACAATTTTCAAGTCGATTTCAATCACTGTTGCTTCCTCCATCGTATTCAACTGAAAAATACTAAATTGATTAATTTATCGTATATTGTTGTTGTCCCTCTCGAGCTCAAGAATTTTTAACTCATATGGAGAATCCAAAAAAAGATTTTTTTTTTTAAAAAAACAAGGAAAATGCCTTACTGTCTTAAATCTGTGTATACAGCTGGCAAGTAGATTTCGATCGCTGTTGATTCTTGGTTTGTATCACAGCCAAGATCTAGTACAAGTCACATTCTGAAGTTTTATGAGTGAGTGGCTCAAAAAAGTTTTTAAATTCACTGGGTTTCTTTATAGCATAAATAAAACCAGGACCATTAGCAAATGGTAGCACTTACACTACCTATTGAGACTGTGACTTGAGTGAATCCACAATTTCCACTTCTTTCACTGTCTTTGCCCATCATCTTGAAATGAAAAATACAACACAGATTTATTGATACACTGTTTTATGTGTTGTTTAACATCCATCTCAAGAATTCTTCTTTCATATGGAGACCCAATAAAGATTTAAAACCAGACAAGAAAATACTAGTAAACGTACAGTATTTAATCTGAGTACAGCTGGCTGGCAAGTAGATTTCGATCACTTTTGTTTCTTGGTTTGTATCAAAGTCAAGATATGGAACGAGTCACATTCTGAACTTTTTTAAGGGAGTGGCTCAAAAGAGTTTTTTAATCCACTGGGTTTGTTTATATGGTAAATAAACCAGAGACATCAGTAACAGGTACCACTTACACTACCTATTCAGAATGTGACTTGAGTGAATCCACAATGTCCACTTCTCTCTTTGGCTATGCCCATCATATTCAACTGAAAAATACAAAATTGATGAATTGATATATTATGTGTTGTTGAACGTTAATCTCGAGAATTTTTCACTCATGTGGACACCCAATAAAGAATTAAAAACAGACAAGAAAATACTTGTAAACTTACTATTTTAAATTTGAGTACAGCTGGCAAGTAGATTTCGATCGCTATGGATTCTTGGTTTAGTACAAGTTACATTCTGATATTTTTTGAGTGAGTGGCTCAAAACAGTTTTTTAATCCACTGGGTTTGTTTATATAGTATTATAAACAAAACCAGAGAAATCAGCAACTGGTACCACTTACACTACCTATTCAGAATGTGACTTGAGTGAATCCACAATGTCCACTTCTCTCTTTGGCTATGCCCATCATACCGGTATTAAACTAAAAAATACAAAATTGATTGATATATTATGTGTTGTTGAACGTTAATCTAGAGAATTTTTCAGTCATATAGACACCCAATAAAGAATTAAAAACAGACAAGAAAATACAAGTAAACTTACAGCATTGAATTTGAGTACAGGTGGAAAGCAGATTTCAATCGCCTTTGTTTGTTGGTTTGTATCACAGTCAAGATCTAGTACAAGTCACATTCTGAACTTTTTTGAATGAGTGGCTCAAAACAGTTATTTAATGCACTGGGATTGTTTATATAGTATTATAAACAAAACCAGAGACATCAGCAACTGGCACCACTTACACTACCTATTCAGAATGTGACTTGAGTGGATCCACAATGTCCACTTCTCTCTTTGGCTATGCCCATCATATTCAACTGAAAAATACAAAATTGATGAATTGATATATTATATGTTGTTGAACGTTAATCTTGAGAATTTTTCACTCGTATGAACACCCAATAAAGAATTAAAAATAGACAAGAGAATACTAGTAAATTTACTATTTTAAATCTGAGTACAGCTGGCAAGTAGATTTCGATTGCTATTGTTTCTTGGTTTAATACAAGTCACATTCTGAATTCTTTTGAGTGAATGGCTCAAAACAGTTTTTTAATCTACTGGGTTTGTTTATATATAAACAAAACCAGAGACATCAGCAACTGGTACCACTTACACTACCTATTCAGAATGTGACTTGAGTGAATCCACAATGTCCACTTCTCTCTTTGGCTAGGCCCATCATATTCAACTGAAAAATACAAAATTGATTAATTCATATTTTATGTGTTGTTGAACGTTAATCTTGAGAATTTTTCATTCATATGGACACCCAATAAAGAATTGAAATCTGACAAGAGAATACTAGTAAACTTACAGTATTGAATCTGAGTACAGCTGGCAAGCAAATTTTGATCACTATTGTTTCTAGATTTAGTACAAGTCACATTCTGAACTTTTTTGAATGAGTGGCTCAAAACAGTTTTTAATCTACTGGGTTTGTTTATATAGTATTATAAACAAAACCAGAGACATCAGCAACTGGTACCACTTACACTACCTATTCAGAATGTGACTTGAGTGAATCCACAATGTCCACTTCTCTCTTTGGCTATGCCCATCATATTCAACTGAAAAATACAAAATTGATGAATTGATATATTATGTGTTGTTGAACGTTAATCTGGAGAATTTTTCACTCATATAGACACCCAATAAAGAATTAAAAAGAGACAAAAAAATACTAGTAAACTTACAGTATTAAATCCGAGTACAGCTGGCAAGAAGATTTCGATCGCTATTGTTTCTTGGTTTAGTACAAGTCACATTCTGAATTTTCTTGAGTGAGTGGCTCAAAACAGTTTTTTAATCTACTGGGTTTGTTTATATAGTATTATTAACAAAACCAGAGACATCAGCAACTGGTACCACTTACACTACCTATTCAGAATGTAACTTGAGTGAATCCACAATGTCCACTTCTC